ATAATATCATATAATTATCCTACTTGGATTATTCAAACGGTTATCGTTTTTATCATTTTCTTCGTGTTGTGTGAATTCTATATATTTTATTAACATGGCAAATTATAATAGGAGTGAAAGATTCGAAATAGGTGAAAAGAAACGAGTTATTTAAAAAGCAGGGATAACAGTTGTGCATCCAATAATGCTGTGTACCAATGGAGATTTAAATTTGATTTCAGTATAATAACAAAGGATAAACAGAAGTGATGAAAAGCGTTGGAAAATTCAAAATGGCACATATAATGTCGAGCAATGTTATAAACGTATAAATCAGCATTATTAGACGTATAAATATACAACATTATCATGTAAATAAATCAACAATTGTAAAATTTATATTGGATTGAAAGGGCGAATTTATAATTATAATATATATATCCAATCTTTGATTGATAATATATCATAAACATTACAGATTCGTATTCAACTATTATGCGGCTGTTTATAGACTGTTCATAGTACAGATCGAAAAATAATTAGAGTTTCACGAAACAACAACTATTCATCAAATAATGACGGACTGTGTGTGAATACCGACCTACACGGGGGAGTCTTTCTATTCTCCCGGTAAATTATAGTAAATGATTTGGTGTATCTGATGATATACGATGTATCGCTGGCCGTATCCCGACGTCCTGCATCCGGTTCCTAGCTGTCCTGGGTATTTTATCGTAGCACTGATAGTGACACTGACACTCACGTAGATACAATTCAAATAGAGAAATGAATATTAATTAACGTGACACTGAGGAAAGTATTAAATAGTATGATTAAATGTCTCAAAAGTCTGCGTAATATTTTAATTACCCAATGGAAATTGTAAAGGGCACACGCTCTGCGTCGTATCAATGTGTGTATCTCTCGCACGCTCGAAACGTAGACTCGGCACACGTACGCGGCGCACTAGAGAATTAAAACAATCGGCAGAAAGGGCAAATGTCAATTGCCAAATGTCGTCGTTCGTCTATGAATGGCACGCACATATGGTGGTCGAGAAATGACAACATAACATTGTTAAAACATTCCGAATATTTCGGGCGATCGAAATTGTCAGGACCGTCGCACGGTGGTATTTATGCGAAGAGCCTCAAGTTGAACCTTAAAATCTATGGTAAATCTAGCGAGTGTTGATTTATGTCTCTACACGGAGAAAAATAATTTGCTGGCATAGCAAATTTGTTATGCGATATGCTATACGATAAAATCTATCAGTTACTGTATGGACTATAAAACGATTTGCTAAGAATATTAAGTGGATTCAGTGGATTATTTTACTGAATCTGCAAATTATTTTGCTGTAAGAACAAATTAATAAATGTAAGAAAACGCTATTTTGTTCTAATAAATTAACGTATCCTGAAAAGAAATTCATTCGGCGAACGATTTTTTCTACAATATCTTCCTGGCAACAAAATTGTTTCTGCTCTAATTATGAACAATTTCCTAATTTGGTTATACCAGTTAAATTTTGATGCTGTTACAATAAATACACAATAGTAACGATAGTTTTGCTACAACAGCAAAATTATTTTTTAATAATTTAATAATGCTCAATCCTTACAATCTCTTCCATCTCAATCCTTTTAAATTTTGAGGTCCCATAGAAAATCTCACACGAAAAAAACTTTTGCCAGTACAGTAAATCGTTTATTACTATAGTGACAACAAAAAAATTTGTTTTCACGCAGAGAAAATAATTTTATTGTTTTAGCAGAACGGCGTTGCGACAGCAATAAAATGTAGTTGGTATAATTAGCAATTAATACTTCTAATAAATTTTTTGTTGTTCAAGTCATTTTTTTACCGTACAATAAGAATTTGATATGCCAGCAAACAATTTTTCCCCGTGCAATGTCAATAAAAGTGCAGATAATACAGAGACAAGCTTTTCTATAAGACTTGATATGGAGAGAACATCTACATAATGGAAAATAACTTATATAATATCTTTCCAAGTTCTCTCCATCGGTTCTTCGCGTTGGACGGAATTTGCGGGATTAATGTAGAACCAAAATCTCGCGTCGGGGCTGCAAACACGCTTGTCAAATAAGTACGACACGTACATGATGGCGGCGCGACCGCGAGTTTCTTTTCGACGGTACCTCCGCCAGCAGTTATCCAAGTAGTTATACAAAAGTAATTACGAGTTAAAGGTTTCCGCGCCGACGCTTCTCCGCGTCTCCCGCGAGCATAGGCGGGTCGCAGCTTGCCGGTGCTGTTGAATTATTTGCATGTCGCAATTAACCGTCGCGCCGCGAAAGCGGCTCAACCACTCGAAATACAGACGTTCCGAAGCTAATTACGGTCGCGGGCGACGCGGGCGATTAAAGTCATCGCTATTAACGACGCGCTCGCGCCTCCGCGAAGTGCGATTCCCGTCGACCGCACGCACCGAAGTCGCCGAAGAACGTCGAAGACAGGAAAAACCTAATGTATACCCTCATACGCCCCTTCGTACGTTGATTTACGGGCAACGGCGACCTCACGCTCCAGGTATAAATTTTCCCCGCATTGTTAAATAAAACTTCTCGCCGATGTGCCGCCGGTCGGGATGCGCGCACTTGTGTATAATGCGGAAAATTCGTAGCTAAAATAAGACACCGCCCCGCTGCTCCGACGGGGGTGCGAGAGCTTAACGTTTCTCATTTCCTACTTCCGACGGTGTCATCGTCCTACAGGATCAGCTACTTCTCTCGCTAGGAATTTATTAACTCATCTTAATCACGTTTCCTCGTTTCTTTCGAGAGAAAAGGGAGAAAAATAACGAGATGGGAGGAAGGGAAGAAGAACGCGTCGTGAGGCGAAAACACGATGGATGGGGGAGTCGCCGAGGAGATCGTCGGTGAACGGCCGGAGGACGCGCCTAAGACCTGCGTAACGTCAGACGGACGTCATAAACGAGCGAGAGAGCTAATTGCATCGCGCGGGACGACCTCGCGTGACCGCTAAAAAGGCAGAGAGAAAGAGCGGGAGTAGCGCGGCTCTCGCATCGCGTGCGTCTTTTCCGAAGTCGCCGGTAGTTATTTGGTAACGCAAGTATACAATACACACACACATAAATGTCGTGCAACGTCAGAGCATAACCTTAAGCGAGAGGGACGCGGTGCATTTAGTCAAATTATTCCGGGGAGAAGCGGTCGGTCGTATTTTCGCTTTGAATGCATCGCGACGAGGTCTCTTAAGGTTTCCGTTATTTACGATCGGCGCTGCGATAGCCGGTTATTTAAAATGCAAATCGACCCGTGTTTGTAGACTATCGTAATATGCATTTAATTATTCCTAGCGTTATCAGATGCCGGATTAAAGCCAGAGTATTATATGTGTCAGAAATTTCTCGTAATTAGAGTACGAATGCGATTAAACGTTATCGCGTTTTAAACGCGAGTAACCTCGCCCGCGCGCCAATATTGAATGGGTAATCCCTCGCGATAAATCGTAACACTTTTTATATCGATTTTAGCTTCGCGGCGCGAGCGCAGCCTACGCATCGCGTTAGCGCGTGTCGCCATATAATTAACATAATGAATCCAATGAAGTTCATTGATATCGAATTTTCGTGATGTAATAACGAAATAGCGATCGATCTCGTTTACATTGGTTTGTTGTATGCGGCTTAGGACGATACGTCAGGGTAGCTTTCGCAGTAAATATCGGAAAATCCACAAATATGAGGTAAGGTCGAAAATTCACAGCGTATTTATTTATAAATGCACAGCGTATTTATTTATAAACGTTGCATCGAAAGAAACAAATACGTAATACAGAATACATATATCAGAGAAATATATATATATATATATATTGTGTATTACGTATCTTCACGTCAGAGAAATATATATATTCTGTATTAAATATTTGCTTATAGAAATAATTATTAATCAGAGCAGAACACAGACGCGCGTACTGCTTAATTAATTACTATATCATATAAAAAAAATCTCTAACTATGTAACTGAATAAGCAGTATACAAAAAAAATAATATCTATATTACTGCGGCCAAAAGCATTCGTTTGAACATTAGCTTAATTATATTGAGCGTACCGAAATTATTGAAAATATAATATATATTATATTAAATGGTTAATAACATATTCGATTTACTGATTCCATCCAACTCAACAGCGTTCCAGTAATCGCGCTGCTATAACTAAAATTTAAATTTAAAAAATTGAAATCTAAATTTGAATTAAATTAAATTAAATCGGCATCTAAATTAGCATCTAACTCTACTAAGTCGGGCCGAGTCAGCAAGTTGAAAAAGCACGTTATAAGATAAGTAAGAACAATTGACTGGGTTGAAATCTCCTACAGAAAACTTCCTGTCCCCACAGTTGAGTTTTTCCTCTGATAACACATACATTAACATTTCTTATATTTTATTTTATGCGTTTCCCATCAAGCAGACGCAGAAAGACATAAAACGTTTCATTGGTTATACATTAATATCTTAAAATAATATATAACCAATGAAACGGCTTTGCGTCTCACCGTGTCCCTTGCTGAATAACGCACTTCGATAGAAAAATTAACTCTGTAGTGACACACTAACATTGTTTCACACGCGAGTACGTCAACTCTCTTACATACAACTGTCGAAACGCATAACTACCATGCTGATAAGCGGCAGCCGCGAATTGAAACGAACAACCACTCGGATCGAGGTATATTTTTTCGCTTTAGAAAATATTTACTGTTAGATCATCTTTATATTAATAGATAATTGAATATTTTAATCTTAGAAAACAATTTACTTCACTTTAATAAGATTGTTAAGTAATTTAAGAAATCATTACATTGAAATATAAAATACGAAATAATATATTTAAGATTTAAATGCATATTTTTATTTAAAACTAAACATTTTTACTTGAATAGAATAAACAAACGCTTGCATTAGGAAATATGGCTTTAATATGTGCTTCGACTCACCATATCATCCGCTTCTTTGTGTTTGCAGTTTTGGTCCGCTTACGTGCCCTGCTCGTCGCAGCATCTCGACTCGGTGCAGCTGGCCCTGGAACAAATAGACCTTATTCGTCGATTGGTCAACAAGCATCCCGAAAGCATGGTCCTCGTTACCACAGCGGAAGGTACGCGCCTTTGTCAGCGCACGTTCGCGCGCACATACATAAAAAGATCTCAGGCAAGACACTCTGTAAAAGCGCGCGGCGGCGACGGTGGTGACTCGCGAGAATGAAAATTCGTCCTGATACATTTGGCGCACGGCCAGCCCTCGGGAAATCGAGCTCGCGCAACTTCGGCCCGATACTTCAAATACTTTCGATCGGGCCAGCGACCCGCGCCCACGTGTCGACGTCTCTTCGGGAAAAAGTACGGCGCGCGCGGTCTGCGGCGGTACTTTCGAAGGCCATCAATTTGAAACGTCCGCTATTTTTCATTCGACCGGCGGGGATTTATTCACCTCGGATTACAATGAATATTCCACTTAACCCTTTAATGCCGGCCATATTACTTGATAATCCGAGTTTCGCCCCAAGATTAATGCGTTACTCGGCACTGGATCAATCTTGCATAATTGCACGCTATATCAATCCATCCCCTCGGCCGCGGAGCCGGCAATATTTTAAAGCCAAACGCGGAGACAAGGCCCGCCGGTGACGGTAGGCTCTGCTCGCCCGTCCGAGCAAACAGATTTCCAGATCCCTCCTATGAAATTTTTCTCCCCGGTTGTTATCCACGTCCGCCGGTTTCCTACACGTAATCTCCGCGTCTCGCATTTTTTCACATGTTGATGGATGCCCGCGAGAATAAAAGCATGGCTGAAACGTCGGTCTTTCCAACCTCCCTCCCCGTCATACTCCTCGTCAGCCGGAAATGTGTCGTCCGCAGCACGTGCTCACTGCTGCTGTTACTCCGCTGTCTAAAACCGGCGGATCGCCAGGCAGTATTAAATTTTCATTGCTGAATCGCGCATTATCTATTTCTCGCACGAGTCCTCGGCACATTCGGAATTTCTTGGCGCGACGTCAACGACCAGAACGATAAGGATCGTCGCCCGTCGTTTATTCGTTCGTTCGTTCGTTCGTCGCCTCGCTTCCTTCTGTCAACTTCGCACCGCGAACTTCCTTTCAAAAATTTAGAATGCACTTTAGAAACGCGCGGGAGAAGCACGACGAGGATCTCGGGAAACGAGCAATCGCTCTTTCAACTTAAGAAGCACTTTCCGTTTTCGACCCCATCAAATCCATTCCGAGACTATCCGCCTCGAATAGTGAAGTCTTCCGGGTGTGCGAGGTCTCACAAAAGAATTAGAAAAAAAGAAGGAGAAAACGGAAAGCGAGAATGTAATAAAATCGATCCGGAAAAAACACTTCCTCCACTAATATCGGATGCCCTCTATGTTTTTTACCGTTAGGATTCTTATATGGGAAAGATGAGGTTTTTCTACGCGAATAAATATCGTCGCTCCGTATGGAGGCTAGTGAAAGACGGTCCGCGCGAGGAGCGGAACAAATCTATTAATCCGATGACAAATCTAAGAGTTACCGACGGCCCGGTACATCGGCCCTCGGAAAAGCATGGCGCAATGGTATCGCATCAATAACATTTTGATCGTGTATTTTTCACGGACTACATTCACACCGTGGATCCATACATGCTAAATTGCTCCATATTCATCATGTCAACAACAACGGATCAAGTCACTACGGTTTTGTTACTTTTCCTTTCATGTTTTTCTATCTGATCTTCTTTTTACTTTTATAAATCCGTTCAGCGATATCGACACTTGCCGAGAGATAGCGAAACCAGAAAAATACCAACTCGTTTAAAATTCATCGAAGTATCGCCGAATTATTAAATTTATTTTCCAAATGGCGACGAAAGCCAAAACATCAATCACCTCAACTTAACGGTACTTCCGCAGAAATTATTCATCAAGGAAGAAACCGTCCCTTGAAGATATTCAAACTACAGGGTCTGTCCAGAAAGTAATGTCATTGAATCCATTAAAAAAAATTTATTGAACTTTTCGTTACAACACATCAAAATTCTTCAAAATAGGCTCCTCCTGCGTTGACACATCGGCTCCAGCGAGTTTTCCAGGCATCGAATGCGCCACGATAGGCCTCCTCCGGAATGTCCTTTAAAGCCGCGGTGCAAGCTGCTTGGATCCCTTCAATAGTCTCGAAATACTTTCCTCTCATGGATCCTTTCAGGCGTGGAAACAGAAAGAAGTCGGGGGAGCGACGTCCGGACACGGTCTTACGGTCTTGCTAAGTTTAACGCAAAACTTGATCGGCATCCTTTGTTCTAACGAGCGCTGCATTTTTACTTGCACGAGGTCACAAAACGACTTCCACGGAAACGCATGTCCTTACTATGCGGCTGGCGGGAGAAGACTGAATGACTCAACATTCGTTAGCTGACTTCCCCCTCTACCATTTCCAACCGAACCGAGCGCGCTCTTACGGTCAGTCGCATCAAAAAAAATCACTGACATTACTTTCCGGACAAACCTTGTATATATTTGCAACTACGTCGTAATCCTGATGTTTGGATATAACGAGCATTAAACAGCATTAACTCCGGGCTGTAAACACGGGACTTCAGCGGGTTTTCCTTCGAGCGTGGAAAAATCAGTGGATCGAAGAAAGGGTAGAGAAAAGCAACGACAACAGCAGTACCACGATGAACCTGCGACGTCGCGAAAACGAGAAAAAGAATGCGGATAGTCGCAGTAAATAGCGCCGCTTTATCGACTAACTCCCATTTGATGCATATATTCCCGGCCAGGGAAGTATTGCCGGTTGCGGGGAGAAGTTTATTGAGATTAATATTATGGGAAAACGACCGTTAATTCTTCTCCCGCAAACATTACAGACAGAAATTACAGATCCGAGCGAGCGCGCCAATGGAATAAATATTCCAGCCGGACTGAGAGAGATTAGCAATATTACGGCGAAAATCTCCTCGTATTTTTAGACACTTGACGATATTATGCGGGATGAAACTCTCGATTGACAGTTATTTGAGGAAATTAACAGCGAGGAGGTTTCGAGCGTACTTTATCTGTTATCAAATACGAATCGGGGAGTGTCCGATGATATTGCAAAATATCCCACAAATTCGCGGACTTCGACGAAATGCGTCAAACGTTTCTTTTTTTATGGATTTTAATATAGAAAAAGGGGAAAAGAAATGCGCACCGCATTGCCGTCGCCCGTGCAGCGGTGCGCTTCCGCGCGCGGTTGCGCGTCTATTTCTCTCTATTATTTTTAATGCATCATATTTTGCCGGGGTGTGTACGCGCGGCGAGTTCCCAGAAAATACTCCTATATTTGGTGAGCAAATATTTGTCGTTGAATATCTCCGTCCCGCTGTCACAATGCGCCGCTGTCTAAGCGTAACGCAAATCCGATGGGAAGATGATGGAACACGGAGAAGATGCGCCGGGTGGTGAATTCCAACCGGAATGGAAAAATGTCGGTCCGGTGCCACACCGGCGTTACCCACTCCACCCGTTCGATAACTCCGGACGTCGACGACTACAGCAGCATGCCGCCGCGTGTTCGCTCGCTCGCTCGCATGCATATGTAAATGAACATAAAATACGCATACGTACGTTCATACATACGGACAGCTGATTGTACGAAACCGACAGCGTGTCCGCCGTATTCCCCGGCGGTCGCGACTTTTTCGCCGCTGATTAAAAGGCCAAAGTATTTCTAGACAAAGCGCGCCGAGCCCTGTCGTAATTTCGCAGCCGCTGTTGCTGCATTTCCGTTGTTTGGGAATATCGAGCGTACGTATCCGCGGAAGGGAATCACACGCTCGAGGAGAAGAACGTCGCGCGCCCCCGTTATTCCCTCGACACTTGTAATCAAGTCCTCCGGCGCACGGTCTCTCCTTCAAACGATTCCCCGTTCACAGGTCGGCGCGTTTCTCGCGCAAAAGGAAAAGTCGCACACGTACGCCGACACATTCTTCATTCGCGCCTTTCCGAGCGTCGATCCCCGCCCCCCGCCATTTCGCATTCATGGTGCATTGCGTAAGCGTTGATAAAAAGACGAAGGATCGCGTCACCGCAAAGCGAGCCGCGCGACCGTCTTTTCGGGCGCATGCAAATTTCATGCGCATCAGTAGCGCGTTATCTCCGCCGACTGAGAAAGGGGCCTCGCGTGAAAGAGAGCTCGGGGGGAGGAGGGAAGTACAAAATATAGCACTTTGGGGAAGCAATCTGCCAGATGGAAGAAAGGGCCGCCGCTAGAACGTGGAAGATGAGAAATTCCGCGAGGAATGGAAGAATGTTCTGAAACCATGGAGCTCGCCGTGCCGTAGCTTCTCCGATAACATCGAAGCCGCTCTGGCCTCCCTCCGTGTGTTAACACGTATATACGTGCGACTACATGAAAACGCGTACATACGCATACATACCCTCTGGGTATACGAATACATCCGCGCAAGGACCCACGAACCGATACACTCGCAGGATCAAATGTATCAGCGTTACGTGCGGCTGGGTGCAAAAGTATAAATCGCGAGGCGCACTAAATCAGGACCCATCGGCAGCACGCGTTTTATTCGCTCGGCTCCTTTTTTCGACCGTTAGAAGCCGTAATACAACGTAATCGCCGGTCACGTCAGCGAGGAAAAATTAAAGCCGCCACGTCACGACAAATGACATCGCCGCGACGCTCGCTTTGATTTACTGCGGCCATCGCGCGAGAGCGGACGTATTCTCGAAGAAAACGCATCGCCCAGCTTTCCGCCGGGAAAAGGGAGTCGGCCGGAAGGTCGGAGGACTCGTACGACGGAGTGATTCAAATCGACGTGTTCGAAATCGGGAGTTCTCATATACGAGACTATATCGGGAGGAGAGGTCTCGCGGGGTACTGCCGTTCCGTAAAACGAGATTGTATATTTAAAAATTATGCAGATCTCCCCCTGAACGCCACAGCCACCCTCTCTCCTGTATTTGCGAACTTCTGTTTCGGCGAACTTTCGACGCTATGGGGGAGAATCATAATTTATCAGCGACAATGTTAACGCGCGTTCGGCGAAGTGGAAAACGTTCCATGTAAAAGATTCGTTTCCGTTTTCTCAAAAGTTTCTGTAACGAGTTAAACGACGTTACGTGAACATTACGTGAACGCTCGCTTCGGCTGCGCGCGCGTATACTTGTGGATTTGTTTTTTCTCTCGGTTTTTATCCAGGAATTTAAATATTCGATCCATCTCCGAAAAGCCGTATATACACGCGCGCGAATCCCATCTGCACGAGCTTTTCAATTACACAGCTCTGCATTTTCTCGATTTGAAGATACAAAAATAGTTTCTTATAATTTTTTCTGCGCTGAATTCGGATCCGCAAGTAAAAATGTTCTACCATGTAAAGTTTACAAGAAAAATGAAACTCCCCAAAAACGCGGGGCATTTTTTAAATTTCCGATAAGACTTTCGGAAAATGTGAAAATTAATGCTTAAATATCGTACTTTAATATGAAAATATCGAATCATTTGCCGCAGGTATCATCGCACTACAGGCACGCTTTGCATTGAGACGTTGGTGTACGTTCGCAGGATAAAGTGTGACGATTGCTCTATTGTGGCCCACTGCAAAACTATTGCACATAGAAAAAATTTCAGTAATAGATATAATACATGAGATTCAAGATGCTCATTTGTAGTAAAAACGTCTTTTTTATTTGTTTAAACAATTATTGATAAAGGAATTTTCAAAAAATAACAATTTTTCCAAAAAATAAGTATATAATTCTGTTGTAAAAAAATTATGTAAGTTGCATGTATTGTGAAATATTTTATAAAATATAAATTTGTATGTAGCATATCATACTGTAACGTCACATCATTCTACTTGACATTGTGCGATTACACCAACTTAAAAACGTGTCAGAGGTTCGATGATGCTAACGATAAAAGATTCGATATTTTCATATTTAAGTACAATGTTCAAGCATTAACATTTGAGCAATCTTCGAAATCTTTCGCATATAGTGTTCATCAGCTACGAATTTTCAAATATAGTCAAAAATATGATTGAAATTTGCAGCGAACTTTGAGTGAAAATAAAAAATTCTTTTTAGGTAACCTTAGTAAAAGAAACAAAAGTATGCATAAATAATATAACTAAACGAGAAAAACGGAAAGATTGCGTGCGCGCGAAAATTCATACAAATTTATTAAAATTCCTGCCAAGAGTCTAGGTGGTTTATGCAAATAAGTGACAATAGTTTTACATTCCGTGAAACACACATATACAAGAAAAAAATTAGGAAAAAAATAGTCAAGAAGGAGTGCCCGGAAGATCTTCATAATCGATAAAGTTCAATTACGAACATTCAACTACGAAGAAAAAAATGTCTGCCAACAATCTCAGCTTTCTGTGCAAGCAAAGGATAGTAATTTTGTACTTTATCGAATGTTCCAGGCTAGAAAAAATATAGTTCGTAAATCATTAGAGCCCGAAAGACTATTGTTCACTGCAAAAACTGCGCGCGCGTGAATATTCACATAAATTAAAATTCTTGTCAAGAGCCCCAAGTGATAACAAACTATTTTTTTCTAAAATGTATCGTTCCACGGAATATAAAACTATCGTTGTCTGTTTGCACAAGCCACCGTGGCTCTCAGCAGAAATTTTAATTTGTATGAATATTCGCGCGCGCACAGTCCGTTCCATTTTTCTTATTAATATTGACACATTTTTAATAATGTTTTTTATATATCTTTTTTCACTGAGGTTAAACATGAAAAAATTGTTTTATTATTTACTCGAAGATTGTTCCAAACTTCGATCACATTTAAAAACGCGTTTTTGGGACGTTTCAACCACATTTTCCTCGTAAAATTCATGTAATAGAATATTTTCCTTGCAGATTTGCATTCGGCGCAGAAAGCACTATGGGAACCTATTCTTCTTTTCCAGACCGCAAAAATAAGCAAAATTTTGCAGACCTGTGTTATCGATCGCTTATGCTGGCGCGCGAGTTTGTGGGTGTGCGATGAACGTATTAAAAATATACACCAGTATGTTGTAACGATAGAGCACACAGGTCACGTTTATTATGTATTCCGGTTACCGCTCTCGCAATATTACCTGCGACGATATTTTTAGAGGCGCGGTAATCTGTCGTTGGCGTATCAAGTATATTACTTCCGCCTAGCGGCCGTACATTCTTTGTAATTGAATGATAAATTACGGCACGTGCGCTCTTTCTTTTTCTTTTTCCCCTCTTTTTTTTTCTTTTTTCATCCAACCCGCCGGTACGGTACATGCTGATGTCGAAGTACGCTCAGACGGTCAATAAGAATTCGCCCGAGAAAAATACGATTTTGCCCGGACGCGCGCGCGCATAAGTGTAGGTATTGGTGAAACATATGCAACATTGTGCGAACGTATCGTGCGAACGTAGCGAAAGACGCTTCTTCCGGCGCGATATAGCCCGCCAAGGTATTCGAATCCAATCTGCAGATCGCGAAATTGGATTTTCCGACACTGCCGACCAGATCCGACGCCGTCGGATTCGATTAAGCGATTAAACATCACGGATCGAATTCGCGGAACGCTGACAAAATGTCCGATTACCCGCTGATTAAGCGTCCTCCAAGCAGTCGTTTTCTATGATCTTCCTTGCCCGGGTTTCGGGCCTCCGGAGGACGCGCGCCAGGTCAGCGCGGTTAATTAACTTTTATTTACACTTTGTAATTAACGATCGTCGCGGTCCAACATTCTCGATAACGATAGGCAATTTGAAGGGCTTAATTAATCCAAAGATCGGAGATGTCGGATAAGCTCGCTTAATTATAATCCGCACGCGTGAGCGCGCGCCCACCGTCGCATTGTACGGCGGCGTAATTGAATTTTGCACTCGCATTGTTTAAACGCGCGCGAAATAAAAGGGAGACGAGCGCGGGAGACGGGTGGGAAGGTATTGGAAATCACGGCCAAGTGTATTTTTCCGCGACGGTATTTTCGCCCCAGCGATTCCGGAGCGTATGCGCGTATCCGCGGGAAAACGCTGGCTACGAAGAGGGAGAGAATTCACGAACTTTCGGACCCACTTAGCAACGACGTCACTTATCGCTGGCGAGCGCGACCGAAACTTCGCGCGCCACGACGTTGCCGGTCGGTTTATTCGATATTCACGCGCGTCAACTCGCCTTGCGTGCGCCGCCTCGCGAGAGCGAGATTATTTCGTCGTGGAAAATTACAACGGACAATATGCGCGAATTTCTAACGAATATGACCGAGAACTCGCGCTTTGCGACGCGAAGCTCGCACGATTTCTCCTTAAAGAAATCGGGACGCTCGCCCGAGATTCTTCCTCTTACTGAAATATCCACCCTCCGATTTATCATGACACACGCGCGCGATCCAGTGAGTCGTTAGAATTATTCGTATAATGACAACGGAACTGGGGCCGCGTGAAATCCGAATTCACGCTGTAAAGGCCGCGTGAAATACGACGGCAAGCGGGCGGGCGTATGCGAAGTAAGTTGTAATGTATGGTTCCAGGTATCGAGAGGGCGCACAAGGAGGGTAGATTAGCGAGCCTGATAGGGGTCGAGGGTGGCCATGCCGTGGGGACGAGTCTGGCGGTACTGAGGATGCTGTACGAGCTGGGCGCCAGGTATCTCACCCTCACGCACACATGCAACACGCCTTGGTGAGTGTGCCGACAGAAATAAGAGCGCCGGTAAAACGCATTTCTCAGGTCAGGCCGATGGGAGAGGAAAAGAGCGCGAAGGGGGAAAGAGAGTCGGCAAACAAAACGCGTTACGAACCGTTTGTACGACGTTATAACTCGCGCGCGTGGAAAAAGAGCTCGCTCTGCGAGCTGCAATTTCGCTAAACGCCGCGTACGTAGGTACGTTCGCGTAGGTAGGTAGATACATCGTGTACACACTCTCTACACACGAGCTTAATGCTCTAATCACGTTGAATTCTGCAAAGTGCACACGCCGCGCGCGCGCGCACGCCGCAATAAATTCATTTCGCATATCAGCGCGTTAAAAGCGCTAAACGCGATCTGATTAAGGATGAAAAATTGCGCGCCGCCGCTCCCGATGACTTTTCAATGTCCGCGCCGCGATCCGGGGGGGGGTATTTTATTTTTACTCGATTACCGCGTCACAGCGCGCTGGTACGCGGGCACGCGCCTTGCAGTGTGCGTTCGTGATCTTTACCGTGCGCCACGTCACTTTGCGAAACGCTAACGTCGATGTCCGCGGTACACAGGATATTTCAGGAGTAAATATTTCGACAGGTTAGAGTATTATCGATTATTTCGAGTGAAAAAGTTTATGTAAACATGTGTCGAAATTTTTATTGGATATGGAGATACGAGTGTTTGAAAGTGGCGCAATAAACGCAACCTATGTGATCCAGTTATAACCGGTCAAAATCTATACCTGGTTAATCTGTAATGGATGTGTTGATAAAAATGTCACATCTTTATATTCGTGTACGGATTTGTGATGAAGTACTGCTGCTGTTCGTACAGAATGCCGTGAACGATTTCCTAACCACTGAATGCCGGGTTCAAGAGTATTTACTGGCGTCTTCGCCAAACTGTATGCGTGAGACTAGAATGTTCATCAATAGTCACATTTCTTCCGATCGTGCAGATGAATAAAATTTGGAGGAAGTGGGAGAAATTCTTCATTCAATTAAACGTAATCGTTCGTAAAACCGTATAACTTATAGCGGTCAGGTTATAACCAGTTACAATTGGATCAGCCGCAAAGTTTACATTCATCGCACGCCATTTTCAAATATTTGTATCTCCGTATCCGATGATAATTCAACACATGTTTACGTAAACTTTTTACTCAGAATAATCGATACTGTAAACCTGCCAAAATATTTACTATTTCTCTTGAAACATTCTGTATTATATATCCGGCGAACGCGCGGCAGGCGGAGAGAGTCGCGATTGTCGATCGCGATAATGTAACTCCGGTCAACGCGAGCCCCGCCGAAAGCGCACGTGGCCACCGCTCGTTCGTTCGTCCGGGCCGAAAACTGAAATAAAAACGGATCGCCCGATGCGCGTTGACGCGTGAACGACGATTACATGTAGAATTTTATAGGCCGACCCACGTTAAAAATGGACCGCAAGAGCCGTACAACAGGACGCGGCGATCGTTTGGAACGGCGACCTCTGCGCGACCGGAACTTTTCATTCGCGTAGCTCGCGGCGATATAGCAGCCGGCAGTAATTCGAAACCGTCCAGTTTCGTTCATTTCCCGGACATTAAAAGCTATCGCTTCGATCCGAGCAGCGTAACGTTTCCCGTAAACGGATTAAAGTTCCTGTAATAGTTCGCGCGCCGATCGTAAGATCGACGGGGGTAACGTTATCCGCTGTTGCGTTCGCGCCAATAATCCGCGAAATTCGCGCGCGCAAATTCCATGGACCATCCTTTCGGTTACCAGTCGCCGGTTACCGGCGGAGAGTCGAACCGAAAGAAATGGCGATTGCCGCGTCCGAGCACCGGAGAGTTACACGGAGAGTTATCCAGCCCTGCGCGGATTAACTCTTTGCGCTCCAAATATTCTCCGGCTACGTGTATCGCGGAGCGTCACTTACGTAACCGTGACGACGCGCTCTCGTTGCGCTTCAGCGCGAGCTTATACGTCGCGCGTCGATAATCCGGATTATTTTAATCCATAATAAAAAGCGACGACGTAACTTGGTCGTTTCGTGAAGGTTGCCGTCCCCGACGACATTACTTTCACGAGAAACGCGAAGAGACGGTCCAATAGCGTTAATTCATTTCTATAAAGAGATATTCTATCGGCATTTTTTTTTTTGCTTTCCCGCGCTTTTGCACGTTTAATCGTAGATTATTAAACTATTCAGTGACTTATGTTATTAGTAATCATTTGTACAAATTACGGAAAGAAGACACGTAATATTTGAGAAAAATATCATTGTTATATTGAGAGGTGGAGACTCACGTTACAAATATTTATAATAATTAGACTTAGAAGCAGTGAAAACTTAAGACAATAATTATCCATAACTATTTTATTATTAATTATTATTATTATTAATAACAATGTTATAACTTGAACACATGTTAACATTATGAACACGACACGTTCATGTGCTGTTTTACAACTAACGCAGATGATTTTTCTGAATTTCGACGAACACAGAGCGCAAACAGTTCGTGCGGCAGGAGCTTCGTAATTGTTACGATAGTTTATTGACATAGAGTTAAATAAAACGAGATCTTTTTACCTCTACGCGCAAAAAGGAATCTCGTGCGTAGTGGAAATCTATTTTCGGTATTTTCGGGGCAAAGCCCTCTGAAGTGAGCGCGTTCGACTTTACCATGTTGCAATCATCCGCGTTTTCACGGGAGTAAGTTAGTAATCTACGGTGCGGTGCTACCTTTTTTTTTTCTAAACTTCGAGCCGTTTTGTTTCTCGCAACGGGAGGAGTATCGAGCGAGCAGCGCGCGCCAGATTACGAGAAGGTTGCAGGTCGTCGGCTCCAGCTGCTGCCGCGAAGCAGACGCACCGTAGAAATATTACTTTCAGGACAATGGGCGAATTCGCGAGTAGGCGACAATCGTTTACGAGACGGCTGCGAGAAGGTCGCAATAAAAAACTTCCCGAACGTACACTCTGACGGGCGTCGTACACCGAGATGCACGACGCACCGCTCTTCCACGAGAGCGAGACGCTGATTTATCTATCCCCAGGCTTCGGCTTCCGTTTTTATAGTATCGCTCTCTGTTTTACGACGTCGCCAGTCAAGACTCGTTGCTCTATTATAGATCGATCTTCGCCGCGCTATCGCGCTTATGACGAAGATAGATTTACATTTTTTTTTCTCTCCGAACCGCTATTCCACCGAGTTACCTCGTAAATCTTCCCGACGAAGATGTTTATTGAAATCGATGGGACGCGGATTCTCACGGTCAATTCATATATATTTCCGGATAATAATAATAATAATACCGAAATTCTTCTACCGTAATAACTGCGCGGTTGGAAAATCACTCCGAAATTAAATTCCCGAGTTCCTCGATTTTACTTCATCGAGCGTTCGCTCGTGTTCGCATCGGTGCGTCGGGATCGTCGGAAAGCTGAAATCAACTGAAACGCCGCCGATCGTGGAAACGTTCCCGCGTATCCGCGAGTAGAAGAAAGCTCCCGAGCTGTTTTGTCGAATATAACAACCCTCGCGTCGTCGTGAGCGCGATATTACGCGACGTATAACGAGAAACACGCGAGACGGCGATCAGCTCGCTCGCCTTATTTATGAGCGTATTTAACCCGGCTCGAGGAGATACCGGCTCGGTAGGAAATACGCGCGAGGAGAAGCCGCGCTGATAAAAAAGGAAAAAAACGTTAGGAACAACACGGGGGCCGCGGCCGTCGCGATTTATTTGCACGGCGGACGACATATTTCACGCATCGTCCGCTTTGCTTATCCGCGGCAATTAAATCGTCGCATGTAACGTGATAAATCCCGCGTGGATTAATGCACACCGTATAACAATATTATACGCGTTCGGCGGAACGTCCGGCGTTTCGCGAAAGCGAAACAGATAGGGCGATTACGAGGCGCGGGTTGGACAAAAATGCCGGCTCGTCCGCCGCGGCTCTAAGCGCCGGTCGTAAATTCGCGAGATCGCGGGCGCGCAGGCCGCGACCCCGTCGAAACCCGCGCGCGATTAAGTTCGATCCGTCGGGGAGAATGTCCGATGGAGCGAGCGCGCGCTCACGGACAGCAGGTTTGGTCGCGCGAACGAAAGGGAAAGCCGCAACGAGAGAGAGATCGGTGATTTAATGGCGCGTGTCGGTGGTCCGTCCGCGATTAAATCCGGCAATGCGGCTGAAACTTCGTCGATCTCGGAGTCGAGGGTACACGAGCGGCGACGGCTCGGTTATCGATTATCGCTACCATTACTGCCGCCTCCGCCGCCGTTGCCGCCGCATCATTGCTCCATTCGACGGCTTAGAGGACGCGGCACTAATGCACACGATTGTCAGCGTGGTATTACCTCGAGTCCTCCAGCCAACGCCTAAAGCTCGTCGTATGTCTCGCATAATCCCATCTGCATGAGATATTTAACCCCCCTCCCACTTCACCTCGCAACCCCTGTGCGCGCGCCCTGCCAGTTGTTATCGCGATTAGGCGCGTCTCGCGCGCCTGAGGAGAATCGAAACGCGCGCGATATGCGTGGCTAAAAAGAGGTCGTGTGTAACACCGGGGAAAATTACTTCCCCCCGCAGGAAACTTTTAGGAGGCGGCCTATTTCTTCCCTCCGCCTTGCTGCCCCCAATGTTGACACGTAGAAATTGGCTCGCCCCCCTCACCCCTGCTTCCTTTCGCATGGAAGCCGTCACACGGAATGTCGTTTACTTGCGCGTTACACGACAGGATCCAATTAACGATACATCGCGTCGCAGAAAATGCACCATCGACCCAGTCAATTTACAATGCCCGCGGAGAAATGTAATTATCTTCGAGAAATGGAGTTACGTGTGAGGAGTTGCGAGTTAATAGAATAATTTCTTAAATTGTTTATTGCGCGCGCGCGCGCGCACATGCACAGGTTTGCAACGCCCGGTAAGAGCGTTACACGTGCAGTTGACCTCGATTTTTACATCTAATAAAACCGCGGAAGCCGATTACAGCTTCTCTCGTAAAACTCTAAACTACAGCGAGCGCCTATCCCGAGATCGGCTTAAAAAAAAAGATTAATTTAGAAAAATCGAGATAACTGTCGTGCAACGTTTTTGTTCTGTAGTCCACAATCATGTCGGCGAACTGTGCTTCGCGCGGTCAACTGTTTCTCTTCTTTTTTTCGTTTGTACTTGGTTTTTTTCTTTTTCAAATAAAAACCTACGTCAGGAAGCTGTAGGATGAAGCGCGCCGATATCGAGACGCTTGGAATTTATTTCGACGCGGTACCTGAGTCGAGACTAACGAACGATATCGTGTAACGCGAATTCAATGAAGACGCGCGCCGAAATATTCCCGAGATCATGCGAAATGGAAACGAGTCGGTTGCGATATGATTGCGACCTATCCATTGTGGGCTAGCGCAAGCTACCGCCCTGTGAATAATACTATTGCCGTTATCGTTAGCATTACGGGCGTGGAAACTTGTGATTAGAGGGGATTCTATCGCAATAACGCTCACGATTGTCGCCACTGAGTTACTGACCTGTTGGTTCGTTAGGGCAGACTGCAGCACGGCGGATGAACCCGGTCAAGTGCCTCAAATCGGTGGTCTCTCAAATTTCGGCAAGGTGAGTACGACCAAAATACGTCGTCTTTCCGACGAGTGCATCGTTACAACTCAAAATACAATCTTCTTATATTCTTGAAAATATAGGGAAAGATAATATTACGAGAATAGAGGATAAGAAAATAGTACAAGAAATAATTATCATGATCGGCATAATAATCGCAATATTATTTCCTCGTGCAATTCATACGATTCACGAGAATTAAAAATTCAACTTTTGCTTGAGATCATAATTTCGCATTCCGATTATGGCATCGAGCACAATCTCGTATACATCTCGTTGTACGATCTATAAAAATGTTTCCACGACAATACCGCGCATCACAGTCTCGTTATAGTATAAAGAATGTTAGAACCACTGCTATCAATTCCATTCGATGTTATTTATAACACGGCCACGTGTAAAACGGAATTGGAAAAAAAGTGGAATTGTTACATATTGAGGAGAATATACATGCGTGCGTACGTGGATGCGTGCGATGCGTGCATTCATACGCGCGCACGTGCACGTGCACGAGTAACGATATGATTTCATTACGTTTCCTTTCAACACAATCCGAACACCGAAATTTGCCGGATGACGGTTGCAAATTCTGATTATCGAGCGGAATTTGCGCGAAATTAAAACGCGCCTCTCCTTCCGCTCGAATTTCCTTCGGCGCGCGCATTGTGACAAAATGACCGATTTCACCGGCGTCAGCCACTCCCGACTGACTTTAATCGTAAATCTGGTGTGTTTTCTACCGGTTGTATCGACGTGTCGTCCATAAATATACGGATTTCGACGAGAATTTAAACGAAAAATGGTTTCGCCAAAGTGGAGCCGAAATGTTTTCGGTACAATCGGAGATCCATCGGGAAACAGTGATATCGAATTTATTGCCGGGGTGATTTCGCGGCGGTTTATGCGTATGCACTGGAAAAGCTGACGCTATGGCATCAAGGTAATAGCGTCGAACGTTGCGATATCGTTCTCTCGTTGCATCATGTCGCATCTTGGTCCCACGAGAACAACGAGAGAGAGAGAGAGAGAAAGTAGAGTGAGAGTGAGAGAGATTGTGTTACTGTTAATACGAAACATATAACAATATAAGGTAATACGACGATGCCGCGGACCTCGTTCCGAATATATCGGCCTTGTAACGGGGAATTGGATACCAAAACCGCACACGAGTAGTTTATCACATGATACTGGAGCATCCCGCTCGCTGATAAAGCGGAGTCGCTATTTATAGTTACGTTCCATGTGAACCCGAAAGTGAATACCCAATCTATCTACTTCCAATGTTACGACACTTTACAAACGTCGTGTTTGTAGAACAAACGCCAAATTTCGCGAAACTAAATTTCGAGCGATCCGCCGATCGAGCTGATCCGTTGAAAACTACTAAAATGGATGGAACATGTTTCGAAGTTCCGCCACCGCCATTGTTCACTTACATGACGAGGGACAGTTAGTCCAACGGATTAGCGGTCGTTTCCAAATTCCCTTCAACTCGCTGATGCGCATCACCTCTGTCCATTATCAGTAAAGTAGATAGATACTTGACTCTTTTAATATGTAAATTTCGCTGCAGGAAATTTCGAGCGCGTAATATGCTTCCTTTCGCAAACAAGATGGGAGAATACTTTGCGAAATATACCCTGCTGAACAGCCTGGATTTATCGAGTAGCGATTGAAACTTATAAGAAGTAGAGAAATAAGAGAGGAGAGATTATCGGAATATTTTCTGCTTACGATAGCAAAATGAAATCCAAAGAAGGTCGGACGGCGGACTAAAACAGTTTGGTGACTAATTGCGCTCGTAGTAATATAAGGTTCCTTACTAGTTTCTCGGGCTAAGTTTGGATACCATTCCATTCACAAACGAGCGGACCATTCCTGGGCAATCACTTAAGAGCAGTGCCGCCTCTCACCTTTCAAGGATATATCTTCTGGTTGTCAAACTTTAAGTTCCTCGCGCGAAAGTGTCACGTAGAGCAGCACGTTGCCCGAAAGTTTATGTTGGAGAGTAGTTTGAGCAACAGGAATGTCACTCGGCAGTCTTCATCGATTCGAATGAGAAGCTTAGAAAACAACAACAATAAACTTTCCTCGACCATTCCCGAGTTACGAGATTACGGTAATTGATCCAGTCCCATTTGCGCCCGTTAATGCTGTCTCCCGGCGGTTCATCGGATTTATTTCTATCATCGAATTGTAATTTCGCGGATAAATCGTTATAAACTCGACTCGGACGGGAGGAAGTATAAATTCTTCGAATAGTCGATATTCGGTCAGGATAATAATTGCGTTCCTTCAATACCCCGCCCGATATTCACTTACGTAGCTTGTTTGCTGCATTTTCGCGCTAGATTCCAATTAATCGCTCTTCGCGTAAACGTTAACCATCGTAACTGTTCCGTAACAGAAATTTTGATTGTGTTTGCGACAGTAGTATGGCTAAGTCCTCGTCGATCAAGGAGGAATTGAATTTGCACCTCAGCGCTGCTGTGAGCTGTTAGTCATAAGCTCAAACAGAGCTTTAAGAACTTCATCGCCTTCGATACAGGGAACAACATACACACGCTCGTCCCGTTGTATTATCGATGGATTGCGTCTCAAGCCTGACGTTTAATCAGACTAAAATAATAATAATAATAATAATAATACGAACTGTCTGCATAACCATCTCTCCGTCTTGTCTTCTCTTGTGTGCTCGACTTAAAAATTCTATTGTGTACGGTTTCCGTAAACAATTTATATGTAACGTTATTTTCGATCGTTTTTAGTCATGAAAAACGGATTCTTTTCTTATATTTTTAAAATACGAAATAATATTGAGCGCTCCGTTAGATATGGAGTTCTTTATTTAGTTCTATTCATGCCGCTACATCTACGACGCATTCGAGGAAATAAGTACACGTCGCTTGTTGCAAGCGGAGAAATTTTCCCCAGGATCTTCCTGCGGGATGCACTTACTAACTCATTCATATTTTATAGGTAGAGTAAGGCCGGTCTTGCCGTTGCGCATCTGTACTGACGGGTATCACCCGTCGTTCTTCAATGCGCGGTAAATGGCCGAGAAAGCAGAGAGAACGAGAGGGAGAGATAGATAGATAGAGAAAGAGAGAGAAAGAGAGAGTAGCAGACTCCCAAGAGCGTTTTCGACGGCTAAGGACGCATGCGAATGACTTTAGAGACGCGCCACAGACACAAGCTAGTCTCGGACATGGAGAAACCGTTCAAATATTCAGTGAAAACGACGTCACGGCGCGCGCGCGTCATCTTTTCGAAACAAAGGGAGATTTATCGCGCATCTTTGTGGCGTCTAATCCGATACAAACGCGCGTCAAAGACGAGGCAGGCCCCGCTTGGGATTCACGGGCGTGATTCTCATTTTACACAACGGGTTAAGCTGTTACGATAAGCCCGCAGCGGTGAGGTCGTTAAATCTAACCATAAATAAGGCGTAAAGATAAAATTGCTACGTGAATGTGAACATGAAGCGGTATCAGGACAGATATTTTTCCATGTTCTGCCTTTTACATCCGTCACAACGTGCCCAGCGTACGTACGTATTCTCGATCTGTGACAGATGCTGTGATTACCCGATGGCACATTCCACGTTTGACTTCTGCACGATGAGTATTTCGTGTCACGTTCGCGTGGCGCTTTAACGGCATTCTGTAGATTCGCATCTTATTCCACGTGCAGAACGTAAGGTAGAAAATCCGGAATTCCGGGGATGGGCGGCGGCGCGAACGTGCGCGATTAAAAATTCATAGAAAATCTTGGAATCGGCACGATTTCACGGAATCCCGAATTTATCCAGGCCGCTGGGAGAAAGTTTGATTGCATTAGAGCGATTGTGCCGTCGCGGGAATTGATTTCGATGCCTCCGGAGTTTCTCTCCCGAGCCCGCCGAGAATCGCCCCGATATATCGCGCCCGCCCGGGAAAAACACGTAAGTTGTTTTAAAGAGGAAGAGATATCCGTCATCTTCGCCAATTCTCCTCCCGTATGCGGCGGAAAAACGAGAGAAATGCGCGTTATCGTTTTCACAAGGGATTATCTCGGTTACCAGCGAGACATCCTCTCTCTCTCCCTTTCTCTTTTTCTCCCAGAGAGCGCGGTGTCTTAAAAATACAACAGGATCGCCGCGATACTTTCCGCGCGCTCGAGCGCATTAACGTCGCGTTCATGGAGCTGAAGTAGAATCGCGTGTAGCTCTTGCGAGGCTCTGCCGCGGGATTTATAATTATTACCGCGCGCCGCACAGAAGAAAGCGTTAACTGTGACGTATCGTCCTTTGTTCCTGAAAATCCTGCCGCTTCTAACGGCTGAAGCCACTTTCGTCCCGCCATTCGGCGAAAATACCAGCGACGTGCTTTCCAGACGTTCGCCGAAAGCCGCAAGCGTGCTTTCGCGGCCGTGAGCGGGGCGATGCAGCTGCGACGAAGGACTGCACTTCCGCCGGCGCGCGGAATTTACATCGCTCGCATATTCGTAGGCGAGTTAACGCGACTCGTCGTCGTCGACGGTACTCACATCCGCCGGTAGAACTGGAACGTCGCGGCTAGACGTGAGTGCGACGCGTTTCGCCGAAGGCGACGATAGCGATAGCGTGGAAGAGAAATACCGCGCGGATGCATTTCGGTAACGGCGCATTTTGCCGGTGAGTAAACGAGAGAAGAGAACACACGAGCTGTCGGTTACTTTGCAACGATAATGCAAAAACAGCTGCATCAATATCCGTCGACGCGTTCGATAACGCGGAAGGCGTGGATGCGCGCGCGACGATGCCGCGCCGTAACGTTTCACGCATCTGATCGAAGTACGTAAACACTATTCGGTGAAATCTCGATTTAGCCGTGGAAAAATTCCAAAATTGTGAATTTTCGTTCTACCTTTCTCCCTTCTCCCTTTTTTTTTTGTTAGAAGAAAGATATTAAATTAAATTCCTGCTGAGGTTCTCTCGCAGGGATTTCATTTAATTACATAGCTTTTGAATTACTTAT